CCAGGGAGAGGGCCCCGGGGGAGAGGCGCCGGAGTCGGGCCGCGGGAGCATGCGGGCCCGGAGCGCAGCGCGGGGCGCGCTGCTGCTGGCGCTGCTGCTGTGCTGGCACCCGAGGCTGAGTCGAGCAGGTAGGGAGCGCCGGGGCGTGAGGGCGGGGGGCGCGGGGACCCCGAAGTTGAGGCGGCCCTTCTCCGCGCTGAGTGCCGCCGAGCGTAAGCGGCCAGGGCGTCCAAGTTCAATGGCAATCAGATTTCCCGTTCAAAGTGGGCACCGGCGCCGGCTAGGTAGGGGCGTAAAGTAAGCGAAGCTCCCTGAGTCCACACACCCCTTCCTCTCCCCCGATGGCGAGCTTCTGTCCTCTGAACGGGTTGGTGTCTGCGTCGGGGTCTACCTGCCGGGAGCACGCACCTGCATCCTTCCCAGGGCCCCCGGGGCCCCGCGCGCCTGGCGGCTCCAGAGGGTCCAGCTGTTGCTGCGCGCGCCGGGTGTGCGCTCGCTGCCGTTCGCCAACTTCCCACCCCGGCCGCCGCTCGCTCACCTGCCGCCGCGCGCTTCGCAGGCGCGGACCCGCAGACAGGAGCCGGACAGCGGGAGACCGGCGGAGCCTGGGATGCGCTCGTCAGGCTCGGCCAGCCAGGGCAGCAGAATCGAAGGCGGGGGAGGGATTGAATCCTCCCCCCTCCCCCCGGCACACCGCTTTCCTCCAGACCGCTGGCGCCCAAGTCCGGCGGGTTTTTTTTATTTTTCTGAGTAATTGGGGAGCACAGGGTTCATAGTGGATCTTAAGGGGTTATCCCCTTGACAGGGAAAGAGATGAGGGACCCTCGCCTCTGGACTGCGCAGGAGACTTGTAGGGAGTTGGTGGTCTCCTGAATGAAGTCCCTAACATCGAGCTCCCTGCCCCCCCGCCCCCCGCCCTCCCGCTGTGGATGTGTGTCTCGCTTGTCCTCCAGCGGGATGAGCCCTTGCCCGCTGGCCTGGGTCTTCCAGGGGAGTCACTGGGCACAGCCTTTTTTGCTTGTTTGTTTGGGTGGGCTGGCCGGAGTAGCTGACCTTCTTGTTGACTGGGGTGGGACTCCTTGAGGCTGGAAATGGGGCAAGGATGGCGTGCCCCCCCCCCCCAACACCCCACCCCCCACCCCGTACCTTCCATGCACCTCCCCCTCCCCCGCATAACCAAAGACACACACCCCACTCAAGAATTAAGTGATTCCCACGGACCAGGAGTGAGGGCTTACTTCCAGCGCATCCCCCACTCTCCCCCCCCTCCCCAGTCCTGTTCCATGAAGTTACAACACTCAATCATTTGATCCCAGTTAATTATGATTTGGGCAGACTCTGGTATTTAAAGCAGTGTTTTGAAGTTGGGAGGTAATGATGGGGTGGGGGCAGACTGCTGAATGACCATCCTTGTTTTAAAGGGTGCACTTGGATGTGGAGGTGCACCGCTTAGGGTATTGGTTTTGGTTTGAGTGTTTGGAGGGTGGTGATTGAGGGGCTGGTGACGTCTCTGTAAATGGTACATTGGCACACGGTTGGCTCTTGATCTGGAATGAATACCAAGGTTTCTGGGGATGGTGTGTGTGTGTGTGTGTGTGTGTGTGTGTGTGTGTGTGTGTAGGTAGGTAGGTAGGTGGGGGGTGTGTTCCAGTGGGCAGGAGAATAACAAGAAGAGCTCTTCCAAACTCCAATGGGAGGGCTGGGGGTGGCCTGCCTTTCCTGCTTAACAAAGCATCTAGTCCCCATCTTCCCCAAAAGAAACCCCAGGCCCAGGGCTTTGATGGATTTGGGCACAAGTGGTGCCCAGCTAGAAATGGCCTGTAATACCCAGCTTTGATTTCTTAGTCAGAGCTAGGCGGCATCGGAATTGTGCTCATTACTTCACGCGGTGGGAACTTCCTGCCCACCAGCAGTAGAGGGGCCAGCTGGCGGGGTGGTCTGAGACTTCCTGTTACTGGGAATGTGTGGGCCTTAAAAACTGGGGGGCAGCGGGGTGGGTTATGCCCCTTCCACATACCCTTTGTTCCAACATCACAGACACAGCATCTTTTTTTCACAGAGCTTTTGGGGCTCCCCCATGGGCTCCTCTTTTTTCCTAGCCCCCTTTCACTGATGGGAAAACCAAGGCCAGTGTGTTGGCTTTCCTGGATTTTGCCTGGCCTTGGTGGGGCGTATAGAATTGTATATAGGGCTGGTGTCTGATAGGCTGATTGAGGTCACCTAGGACCCCCTCCCTACACCCCTGCTCACCTCCACCTTGAGCTCCAGATTAAGCAGAGGCAAGAACAGTTGTGGACACAGAGTGGAGGGCTGGGGGTGGGGGGCGGTATCCTTTCAGTGTCCAGGTTCCTCTCAAGTAGCCACAGGAACCTCTTTCTCTTTCCCCCCACCCATGAATATGGGAATACGTCTCTTTAGGGCACTGTGATTTTTCTTTCTTTCTTTCTTTCTTTTTAACCATAAAGTTTGATGATGGGAAAATCAAACCTGGAACCATAAAACCCCAGACTCTGGGAAAGAGATGTCAGCAAGTGACTGGCTCGCCAGAGGCCACTTCAAAAGCCCCAGTTGGCCAGGGACGCTTCCCACCCTGCTCCACCGCCTTTCCTGGAGCTTTTAATGAACCTTTCCTTGGCCTCTGTTTATCAAGCCAAAGTGTCTTGATAACACTTCTTCTAAAAGTGCATTTAAAACCAGAATTTTCCGAGTGTGTGTGTGTGTGTGTGTGTGTGTGTGTGTGTTGCTCCGTTCTTGTCTTCTACACGACAGCAAACACCCCTCTCACTTAAACCAATGGAAAATCAAGAGCCTATTAATGGGTTTTCTCATTAAAGTCAAAGTACCACTGCAGGGGACGAATATTGTCCGTAATCTAACTTCTTCCTCCTCTTCTTCCCCACTGCCTCCCCAGCAGGGAATTATGTATGACACCCTTTCTGACCTACTTAGCAGTGGAAGCTTTGGGACAGGCCCTGACTTGTCCTCGGTCAGATGGGATTTATGGATAGAGGTGGGATTTGAACTCAGACCTTTCAGATCTCAGGCAAAAGCCCCCGAGGGCCCTTGGTTCCACTTGAGATTTGAACTAGCTGTGGAGGGTCTGGGGCTGAGATTCCGAAAGTCAGCACCACCTGAGGCAGTCAGCTGACAAGCCGGGCGGTTTGGCGGCCAGGGTGGCCTGGGATTTGTAGCAGGATATTGCAAAGACTGAGCGTCCAGGGGAGGTAGAGCAGGCCAGGGCCAGAGGTCCAAGGTGAAGGACTGAGACCAGCCACCCAAAGGTGACTCCATTCTGGGACTTTCCTTGTCTGTAACTGCCCCACCCACCTTGGGGGAGGCGGGATCAGGAGTTACTGGGTTAACAAGGAAGACGAATCACAAGCCAAGCTTCTCCATTAGCATTTTAGAGGTCGACCCCCATTTGCACTGTCAGGGACCAAGTGCATTTTTACCCTTCATTTTGATGCTTTCTGGCTTCATCTCCATCCCTCCTCTCTTTGTCCTGAGCTGCTCCCATGCCACAAATTCTGTGGGACTCTATCCCTGGCTGCCAGGCCAAAGATGGGGCCTGCCTCCCTCCTCCCCTCTTGATAGGCACAAATGCTTTTGAAAGCCTGTGGCAGACTTTGGATATGAAGAGTGGAACCCTGTCCACTCCCATGAGCAAGGTTAGGGATTCTGATGGACAGCCCTGGGAATCTTCCCCAAAGGCTAAGCATTTGAAAAGCAGCCAGCTCAGCCGCTGGGGCCTGTGGGACAGTGGGGGCAGGGATGCAGTCCTGGATGGGCCGCCTGGTGCTGCTGGAGCCGGAGCTGGGCTGGGAGGTAGTGCCTAGGCAGGACAGGGAGGAGAGAGGAGGGTTCCACAGTGAGTCCCAGAACTTGAGCTGCTTCTGGCCTCCTCCTTCACCTCCTCCTCTTCCTTCTCCTCCTCCTCCTCCTCCTCCTCCTCCTGTTTTCTAAACAGCTTCTACAAATGGACTCATTAACGCTGTGAAGGCAAAATGAAACCAAACAAGTGGAGTCGTGCCTTTCCTTTTCTTTCTTTTATTAAAAAAGGAAAATTGTTCAGTGCCATCAGATCTGTTCTGTCCTTGCCTCTAAGGTGCATTCTCCTGTACCCCTTTTAAGGTAGACTTGTTCTGGAGGCTCCTGGCATATTCAAAGTTCTCTGGCAACTACGCCATAATTCAAGGGCATCAATCCTTCTTTCTTCCTCGTTCACTGTCCAAGGGTCACATGCTTAAGAAAAGGCCAGGGTTTGGGTGAGAGGTCCCTTAGCCCTCCAGGCGACATTCTCTGCTCTTTACCACTTTAAGGAGGTCTGTTGCCACAGATTTCCCGGGCCCAATTTGATGTTTGATTTCTTGACAGCTGCTTCCGTGAGCGTTGGTTGCCGATACATAAAACCAAATCCCCGACAGCTTCAGTCATTTCCGCATTGATCATGACGCTGTGTGTTGCTAGCATGGTTGTGAGAAGCCTTGATTCGTAAGCGGTTCAAGTCCTCTTTGAGCCAGCAAGGTTGTGTCCAGTATATCGCTAGCTGGCCATGAGGGCTCCTCCATTCCTGGGGTCCCGTTTTTCAGATGGTCCAGTTTCTCCCTTGTATTTGCTCAGCATACAGATGGAAGTAAATATGGGGGGAAGAAATGGGGAAATACCGTAATTATAGTAGTACAAGGAAAGGACGGGTTCAGGAGGTCTATGGGAAGTTGGCCTCCTCATCCTTTTGTCTTTGCTCTCCTGAATTTGGTGTTTGTCTTCCTCTGGACCTGCACAGAGCTGGCAGGTGGGGGTGTGTGTGCATTTTGGTGAGATAGAGCCAGGAAGCCCCTCCCTGGTCGGTTTAGAAGAAGATTGGCTATCCCAGAGCTGGCCTCTGCTCCTGGTGGTGAGTTGGGTAGTTGGAAAGTGCAGCCCAGCTGCTGGTGAGTGCTCAAAGCCCAGGTCCTGGGGATGCTCCTTCCCGAGCTCCTGGTCTTGAAGAGAATAATGGCAATGGAAACGTTTCCTAAAGTGCTGCCATAAATTAGCCACCTCCCCCTCGCTCGCCTTCCCCTGACTCCTTTATTGGCCTCTTCCTTCTCTCCGAAAGCAGGGAGTTGCTGGAAGCGCCCAGATTTACGACAAAGCAGCCTAATTAGCATCCCGCAGCTTGTGGGTTTGATTCCAAGCCACTGCACTGTCACAGCGTTGCTGCGGCTAGGCTCCCTCTGGCCCCTCTACACCCCCCTGCCCCGCCCACCTAGCTAAATCCTTTTGCTGGAGCCCCCACCCCAGCTCTCACCACCTCCTAGCAAGTGAGCCTGCCAGGCCACCCCATTGTCACCTCCCAGCGCAGGCTGCCCCCAGCGCCTCACAACTCCCTCACCTGCCGCTGCCGCTCACTTTGCATGGAAAGGCAGGCTCCTGGGTGTGAGAGTGTGTATTAGGAGTGTGTCGGTGGGAGGTGAGAGTGGATATGGAAGGAGTAGGTGGAGGTGGGAGTGTGTGGTGGGAGGTGCTGGTGAGGGGAGATGCGGTGTCGTGTTTGGGTGTTAGGTGTGTGAAAGTGGGGTGTGTGCAGGGAAGAGTGTGTGTGTGTGTGTGTACGCATGTGCTGAGTGGGGCTGTGAGAGGT